AAAAACTTGTTTTTAGCACAAATTAGTGACAAAATTTTGCAAGCAAAAATCAAGGGGAGAGGGTGTTAAGAAATGGTGTTAAGAAAATAAAAACTATCGTTATCGTTGTTGCTTTTTATAGCTATATTACTATTAAGCCAGAATTGTAAAATCGAGGAAAAAGAAATCTTTATTTAACTTAAAAATTTCAAATGTTTTATGTAAAAGTTTTTAAATTTTTAAAAATGTTTTTATAAACAAATATAAACAACAAAATTTTTTTTGTGAATATATTTGATTTAATGTTAAAGACTTCACAACTTGGTTCGTTGCAAAATCACTTCACTGATTCGAAATAGACAGTCTAAAAGAAACAACTACGTAGTTATTATTACAATATTTATTAACAATCAACGAATGAAATGTAATTCAAAAAAAAAAAGTAATTAAGGTAATTACAAATTATGGTAAAAAAATGCTAAAAAGATATAACTTACTTTGACATAATATTTGGTTCGTAGAAGGTCGTATATTTATTTGGAACCCAAAAGTAAAGTTGATTTTTATAACAATTAAACTAAAATTTAAAATAAAATATAAGCAAAATAAATTTATTAAACTAATTTTTCTTAGCTCTTAGTGAATGATTAAAAGTAATTAGTCTCAGCAATGAAACTATCTAATAATCATTTTTAACAACAGACACCAACGTGAAGGTGAGCTAAGGAGTCTGTCAAAAAAATATTTGTGCTTTTCTATTAACATATGAAGCACATCTCTTTAATACTGTCATTTCATGTAATTGTCAATTGTCAACTGTTTTTTTATAAGTAACAAAGAATGGCTTTGCAGTAAAAATATCCAGTATCAAAGACTGTTTTTTTTTCCCAGTATCAAAGACTGGTTTTTTGACCAGTATCAAAGACTGGTTTTTTAACCAGTATCAAAGACTGATTTTTTCCCAGTATCAAAGACTGGTTTTCTAACCAGTATCAAAGACTGGTTTTTTCCCAGTATCAAAGACTGGTTTTTATTGCAGTATCAAAGACTGTTTTTTAACCAGTATCAAAGACTGGTTTTCTAACCAGTATCAAAGACTGGTTTTCTAACCAGTATCAAAGACTGGTTTCTGGCTTAGCAACAACAAAAACAGTAAGTCAAAAATAAAATTGGCTGTGTTGTTATTTGTCAAAATGTATTGTCTCTAGTAGTAAAAAAAAAAGTAATAATTTATTAATTAAGTACATTTGTAAATACAACATTTTGTGTGTAAAATTTGTTTAATGATATACCTTGTAATGAATGTTTATCAACTTTAAAAAATAAACTATTAAACGATCTTGTTCTTGAACATGCAACATATAATTGACCGTGTGAAAAGCAAGGCTTTTTAAGATAAACTCCAACTTTGTCAAAAGTTTGACCTTGACTTTTGTTTATGGTCATTGAGTATGCTAACCTAACTGGAAACTGACGACGTTTGAGTATAAAGGGTAAATTTGAATCCGATGGAGCTAATTGAACTCGAGGAACTAAGATCCTGTTACCAGCTGCTACCCCTGTTAGAACCTGTCCATCAATATAATTGTTGTGCAGTGCACGTACCATCAAACGTGTTCCATTACAAAGTCCGCCTTTAAGATCTAAATTTCTAAGTAGCATTACAACAGCACCAATTTTTAATTTTAGGCAATGAACAGGCATACCTGATGGAGTCAAACTATTTAAAAACTCGACTGGAAAATTATAAATTTCATTATGATCATCAGTTTCAATGCTATCTGAACTTAAGTAAATTTTAGTATCACCAGGTAAACGATCAAGGACTTCTTCATTTGTTGCCAATGAATCAATATTTGTTGGTGTTGAAATAGCACAATTAGCATAATCAGCTTCCTCTGTGCCACCAAAAATCTTTTCCACAATAGATTCATTATCGTTTACAAAGCACTGCTCAGGTATTTCAATACACCCTCGCAAAGGATCTTCAGGCTTGACAGGTAAAGTTCCACTTCCAAGCTTTAGAAGCCATTGAGAAAATTCCTCTTCTCCTATCTGAACCCTCATATTTTCAGTTAATGAAAACCTTTGCACATACTGCCAATGTTCAGAACATTTTAAACATGATTCTACAACTTCAGCTGGTCGACCTCTTTTCACAACTGGAAGTATTTGTCTAAAGTCTCCACCCATAAGAATAACTTTACCACCAAAAGGAAAGTTATTATTACAAATATCTTGTAATAACTTATCAATGGCACTTAAAGCATGTTTAGGAATCATAGATGCTTCATCAAGTAAAAACAAACTTACTTGTCTAAGGAATTCACCATGAATAGAATTTGGAGTTACATTACATGTGCTATTTTCCAAAATTGGCACAGGAAGTTTGAATAAGCCATGCAGTGTGCATCCATTTTTAAGAAGAGTTGCAGCTATTCCTGTCCATGCAGCTGTTACAGTTCTAATATGTCTGATGCGTGTTTCAGTGATTAAATAATTGTAAGTAAATGTCTTACCACAACCAGCAGGCCCATCCATAAAAAACAATCTTGAATGCTTATTTTCATTATTAGGTTCTTCATTAAGTGCAGCAAGGATTGCATCAGCTACATTACGCTGATTATCATTTAATAATGGTCTAACTCGATTTGCTTCATCAATAAATACCTGTACATCTTCATCGTCATTTTCTGGGATAGAATCTAAAAACTGATCTAAAGTAGGCAAATTATAATCAGCTAAAGTTTTACCACTCTGATTAATTATAGATTCGATTTGACAAAGTGCTACTTGTTCAGCAAGTAGGATTGGCATTAAACGGTGTATGTAATCCTCCACCATATAATCTTTAAAGGTATTCCATAGGTGTAAAGGATCATCAGGTTGACATAATGTTAATATGATGGAAAACAGTTGCCTAATTTGTTTAGGCAATCCAGTTGCAACAGCCTCAGTTAATGTATTTCTCCATTCAATGTCATCTTGCAACAGACCTAACTGATAACACGCTTCACAAAATGTATTAAAAACAGTGCCATTCACAGTGCGCAAATTCTCGTAAGATAATGCACCTTTTACATGCAAAAGCAACAATCTAAGAAAAAATACTTCACTGGATAGATTGACTTTATACATTCACACTATCACCATATCTCTACCTCTTTGTCTTACTTTCCACTTGCAATTTTTACCGTCAAACACAAAGTGATATGGAATTTCAATATAAGAATAGCGACGTGCTTCAAAATTTTCAGCATTTAATTTAAACCAAGCAGTTAGGTGAGTGTCACGCTGTGCTGCACGATTAATAGCTACTTGTTCTTCTCCCTCGTTAAAATATACTATCTGATTATCAGGAAGGTGCACTTAAAGGCGAATAATGGTATGTGACATATCACTTATGGAATACTCATATATTCGCCAAAGAGCCTCTGGTGCAGAAACAAAGCGACAGTCTAAATATGTGTTAATTTCATCATGGTGAACACTTTCATTAATTACCACATTAGCACAATCATGCCCCTTATATATATATTTGTATAAATACTTAACTGACTTAATGGACATGCAAGCCTCAACATTAATGTGGGCTTGGTATTTTTTCGATAACCAGGGGTTATAGGGTACAACCCAACGATTATCAACTTGGTTACCTTTTATAACAACTACTCTACCATTATCTAAACGCCTATAGTGTGGATAGCCATTGAAAGTTGCAACAGTATAAAGATTGAAATCTTTAGGAAAACCTTTTGTGCAAACCCCATCCTTCATGCACGATGAATTGGGATTTAAAATTCCGCATGGTCCATGAATCATACATGTTTTTACAATTTCAAAAAGTTCAGGATCAACAGTTTGATCTGGAATTTCAGCTGATATTAAACTATCAATATCCTCTGCTGTTTCTAGCTTATCGTTATTTACAAAGTGTAATAAAATATGTACATGTGGCAAACCACGTTTTTGAAACTCAATAACCTGTACATGACTTATAACTTTGCCTAAAACACCTTTTTTAAAAATATCTTCTAAGAAGCATTTAAGTTTCATTTTAAATACACGACTAACTAAATCAGGTCTGTCACTTGCACATTCACCTGGATTTAAATTTTCTGTAATTTCTCTCCATTTTGGATTACAGGTAAAAGTAATAAAAAGATCTGGTTTGCCTTATTTCTTTATAATTGCCATTGCATCCTCAAAATTTTCTTTTAAAGCTCTTGGGCTTCCAACATATGAAGATGGCAGTACAACAATACGCCCTGGTCTTATGTCATGATTATTTGCAAAGTTGTTTACATGTTCATGTAATGTATCATATTGTTCACTTCTAAGTTTGCTTTGGTTATTTCTGATGAAGGCAAGGCGTTGTCCTTCAATCTTGACATATGCATCAACAGCATATTGTTGAAAAAGCTTCCTACCATAAAATATAGGGCTAAAGCTTTCTCTAACAGATAGCCTATAATTGTAGTACTGAGACAAAGTAACATGATTTCTAACACGTGTTGCTCTGTCTGGATTGTGCTCTAGTTGATCATGCCATCCTGCATCGCCTCTTGGAAAAAAAATTGGATATATCATTGGATCTAGATTAGCAGACATACTTGATATTTTTTTCAAGGCCTGACCTCGAGGGTGTATAACAACTTCTCTAGATGGAGGTGGAGCACCATCGTCTCCTACAAACACAATGGCAACTTCATCGTGTGAAGGTAGATTGTATCTACGCCTATCGCGACCTTCAAGCAATGACATTTTGACAACTGAAGTTGGGCGACCTTCTAAAGCTGCTTGACGCATTTCTTCATCTTCAACTTGTGCCATATTTTTAAAAGCAAGAGCATATGGATTCTGTTGACTAATTATAGTCTGTAAAAGTTCCATTAACTCCCGTATGCAACAATCATTTTGCTCCATTCGAAAATTTAAGGCAGTATTGGGATCATAAACATATAACTGACAATAAGATGGTGAAACATTTTGATCAGGTCTCAGATTACCAACACGGTGCATAATTTGTCCACAAATCCTAAAACATGGTGGGCCATGATTCGAGGGAGGAGCTATTCCAGCTTCAAATGAAGCAAAAGATAGACAGGCATTATAATTTCGAATGTGATTAAAGAAATTTTTATTTAAAGCACGATCAACATGGTTGCCTTTCATTAAATCCATCATTAGTGGTGGATAAGGTGAAAGCGGAGCTAACACAACTTTTCCTGAATGGCAGCACAAAGAATGTGTTTCATTTAAAAACTTTTTAGCACCACAATATTGACAAATATGGTTCATTTCTCCAAGGTAACTTCTCTCTATAATATTATTATTTCTTGCTATGCAATGCATTCCACACCTAAGTAATGCACGCCTAGCTTCATTTCTTTCATTTTGGCGACGATTAAGTTCTTCTCGCCTAGTCGCATTTCTTTCATTTTGGCGACGATTAAGTTCTTCTCGCCTAGTCGCATTTCTTTCATTTTGGCGACGATTAAGTTCTTCTTGCCTAGTCGCATTTCTTTCATTTTGGCGACGATTAAGTTCTTCTCGCCTAGTCGCATTTCTTTCGTTTTGGCGACGATTAATTTCTCCTCGCCTAGCTATGTTTCTTTCATTTTGGCAAATTCTTCTAATTTCAGCTCTTAAGTTATTTGACATGATAAAGCAACTATGTTTAGTTTGATAAAACTTGATTTGTTTAATTTTTTGCTATACTTATCTAAAATGAACGAACATAATGAAAGACATAACAAACATAATGAAAGACAATTAATTTATCAATCTAAACTATGTATCTAAACATATCTACATCGTCGGCTCAGGATGCAATTGTCCTATTGCAAATTTATTAAAGTTATGTATAAATATGTAATTATCTAATATATGTAAATTTAACATCATATATTAATAAAAAAAGTTTTTTTTTAAACGTTATTTTAAATAATTAATTAAATAATTAATAATAAATTTGCAATACGCAATTGCATTGCGAGCATTACAATTTTAATAAATTTGCGATACGACAATTGCATCACGAGCCAACCACATATCTATATATATCTATATATATCTATATATAACTTTATCTATCTATCTATATATATAGATATATATATAGGCATACACTTAACTGGTTTAGAAAAGAAATATACATAGAAGCTGAGTTTAGGTTTAAATACTACATGTTGTATTGTAAGTAGTAAGACAAATAAAACATTTTTAAAAAAATAAGAAAAAAAATGATAGTAGTTTAAAAAAATTTATAACTGAATATTAAAGAGTAAAAACTATTTTGTAAATAAAAAAAAAAGACATGCCAACTTTTACAAACAAAAATTGATGAACATCATATCAACCACATGTTGCCGATACCTTCAATAATTTAAATACTTTTTTTTAATATCTAAATGGAATAATATAGACATTGTATAGTGTGTGTATATATATATATATATATATATATATATATATATATATATATATATATATATATATATATATATATATATATATATATATATATATATATATATATATATATATATATATATATATATATATATATATAGTTATAGAACAGTAAACTGTCTAGTATAAAGATATTGGTAAAATTCTTTTAAAAACTTAGATTATAAAATAATTATAAATTTTAAAATTCAGAAAAAGAAAAAATACTGGGAAAAGAAAAACACAGGAAAAGGTACCAAGTCGCAGTTTTTAGATTCTGAGGTATACGCGTTGCAACTACCTTTTTTATCTTTTTTCAAGCAGTTTTAATATTTAGTAATAGTTTTTTTTAAATAAATAATGAAAATTTACATTACCTTTATTGCTTTGTTAGTTTACACAGTTTTAAATTGTCAATTTTTTAAGTCTTTTTTAGTGTAATTTCATTTTAAAACACTTCCATGAAAAACTATGTAGAACTTTTAAAAATGATGCTATCAAGCTAATTTTTGTTTTATTTTGTGACTTATTCCTGACTCTATGCAACTGTATCAGTAACTCAGAAGATTGGTACTTTTTACTGTAAGGCACCCATATGTTAAATAAAAAAGTCATAAACGCCTTTATTGTTTAAAATCATTTCCAACATTGGCAAAATTTATCTTAGGAAGGGTAAAGAAAAACAACAGTGCTTATTGTAAAATTTTATTTTATTTATTCGTATAATTTGTATAATCAATGATAATTATAATTATACGTAACACCCCCCTCCCACCCACCCTCCCATTTCTTCTTCTTCTCCCCCAACGAAAAGAGGGGAGATCTGCCCCATTATTTGAGACCCATATCCTATGGGCCCTGTAGGATATGGGTCCTGGTTGACTCCTCCTGTAGGCTATAAAAGCCTCATATGACAAATCTAAAATGATAAAAGTAACAAAATGAATCTTATACAATATTAAATAAACAAATTTGAATTTTATACATTATTATAAAAATAAAAAAGAAATTAAGAATTTAAAAAAATAAGTAAACATCACATTTGACAGTTACATAATAATAACACAGTATTTATACGAATGAAATACAAAACTAAAAATTAACTTACCAGCAGCAACTGCACTTGTAGCAGATGATGAGGAAGATGCTGTTGTTGTTGTTGTTGTTGTTGTTTTATTGTTGCTGATAAAGTATGAAAAAAATAAACTAAATAAAATATTAACAGTAACTAATAATTATTCTAGTTATAATATAAAAAAAGCTGTTTATTTACCAGGAGTTGTGGCAGCTGCTGCCATTGACAATGATGGTGTTCGGGCTATATATAATCAAAAAATCTATGATTTCATAATACATAAGAAACTTTACAATAAAAAAAGCTAAATTCTTTTATATGTTTAAATAAAACAATATGTTTACATAATATGGTGATGTGTATACCACCACCATATGTATGCATATAATCAATTATATTTTGGAAAGAACCAATTTATAAATTTATAAAGTTAAAGATATTTTCATACAGGATTGCTCCTCCATCTTCTTTAAAAAATTATTAACTAAAGAGAAAAAACAATTTTATTAACATTTTCTATGTAAAGTGATATTTTAAAAAATTAAATAAAACATGAGTATTACAGTAACAAATAAAAAGTTTAATAATCAATACAATCTAAAATCTTACACATTTCTTCCATAGATTGCACTAAAATAACATGAGCTATTGATTATGACACAATCAAAAATAATTCAATCAAATTATAAACTTAATCAGTAATAAATTTAAAAAAAATTTAAAAATCAAAACTTACAAAACATTTGTTGAAAGTTCACTACAAAAAAAAAAAATAATACTTATACTAATACATTTTATGTCTTTAAAAATTTAAAACAATAAATTTCAAGTAAATAGAAAACTAACTGTTATTAACAAAACATTGAATAAAAAATTGAGTTTTTTTTACCTGATTGTGGTTGTTGTTGTACTAAAAAAATTAATACAGATTTAAAAAAAATACAATAGTAAAAAAAAAGAAAAAACAAATTATTAAGAACTTTTTAAAGAAAGATTTACATTCAATAAAACAAAAGGTTTTTTCTTACCATATTGTAATTGTTGTGTTTCTAGTTAAAATATAAAAAAAGATAAAAAGTAATAATTAAGTACTAGCTGGGGTGACCCGTAAAATACGGGTCTTTACCGAACCGACCATTTTTATACTTATCTATAGCTATCCGGACGTAAACTAAGGGTCTTAGTAAATCTATTCTACACCAACCTTTTCTATACTTATTCCTTACCTCAATATTTTTTTAAAACCGTTTAAAAATGTACATATAAAAAACTATACTTACTTTTTGATATGACAAAAACATTTCTGTTAAAATGTTCTTTTAAAAACTTCAAACGATTTTAATATTATGCCGATTATAAAAATTTTAATAAGAAAAAACGTAAAAAAGACTACGAACTTAGAAAAATGCTAAAACATTCAACACGTGACGCCGTTAAAGTACGCCTTAGTTAACGTTCATAACATATACACATCTAATTAGATTTTATTTAAACTCAGTTGTTGCAAACTTGGTTTTGAATTTTTAATTACACTTCTTATGCGTCATAAATAATCTTAAATTTAAATAGAAAATACGTTTATGGGCTAATTGGTAGACGCGCAACACTTAGACATTTATAGTCATCTTACCCCGGGAGTTCATACTCCAGTGACTTTTTTTTTTCATCCCAACTTACAACAAAAGTAATTAAAAATAAATGTTATCATTGAAACAGTTTTAAACATTTCTTCCTATTTATCTTTGAACTTAACTTTATTCACTGCAAACATACTTTTGGTGTTTGTAAGCGTTATTTTACGTTTAGTATTTGTAGGAATTATTTGCACGCACGTATTTTAAACAATTATTTTTACTGTTTCATCTTAAAATCTTATTTAATTTAGTTTAATAATTTCTTAAGTATAATATATATAATATAATTTAAAATATTTTAATAACCCTATTTAAATAAGTATCAAAACTCTTTCCTTTAATTTAAAAAGAATTTAAAATTAACGTAGGCTATAACGATATTTTACCCTTTCATCAACATTTATTTAAAAAGTAAATTTGGATATAGAAAAACGGGTTAAAGACTTATTATTTTAAATAAGTTAGCTTTATCTATTTAATGCTTTTCGTAAAAGCGTTTCTTTAAAGACTCTTAACAAATCATTCAAGCTGTTTTTACTGCCTAAGTTATTAAACCTGTTGTGTGTGCCAAAAATCGATACTTAATGCAAATGGAAACTTCGAGTGCTAATGGTGATTAAAGCATAAATGGTTCCTATTCATATATAATAAAAGGAAATATGAAAGACAAAGCAAAAATGATTTTTATATCCATTTAAACCAATAAATCCCAAAATAAAAAAATATAGATATTTACTTAAAAACATATTTTTCTTGATATAAAATAAAAATATAACCTTTAGTACAAATTACAAAAAAAAAATTTATTCAACAGAGCTACTTATAATACAATTTAAATTGAATCATTGTTTCATAAATATTAAGCTTTAGGTAAGCCATAATCAAGTCAGCTATAAGAAACGGAACTAAAAATGGAACAAAGTTATTTAAACGCATAATCATAATCATACACATTAATTACAAATTAACATGTCATGCAATCAATACTTTTGAAAACTCAAAAATGCGAATAAGAAACTTACTTTTTTATTTTTACATAACCCTGACAGACCAACATGAATGTGAGCTAAATCTATTTGCATAAAACATCACAACAATTAATTAAATAGCAGAACCACCTCCAAAGGACAAAAAAATTAGTTTTTTAAGGAAAATTAGAGTTATTGGGAGGGGAGGTATTAATAAATAAAAAAGCTCAACTTGAATTTAAAAATTAGTTCATAGTTTTGTTGAGGGTTATTGAGTTATTCTGAGTTTATTATACATATTTTAAACTACTGACACCACACACTTATATTCTTAGTTCTGGAAGGTGCTAGATAGAATTTGATTGTGTGAAAACCAAATCCCTTTGAGATTAACATTAACTTTATCAAATGTATGACCGTGACTTTTATTTCTAGTTAATGAGCATTGTTGATAAAGGTGTCTTTATTTAAATGATTTACTTTGATAACATTTAACATTCATGGGAAAAATAAAAAACAACACGAAAATAAATTTACAAAAATATATTACAAAAAAAAAAATGAAGTGGCTCAAAAGTTGTCAATTTCTTTACATTTTAATATGTAAAAAAATTATTGACAACTTTTGCGCCACGTTGTCTTCTCCTCCCAGCATCCGCTCTATTCCCCGTGTTGTATGGGGTGCCATCCCTCCATCTAAAGGAGGGATGGTCGTCCCCATACAAACACCAGCGATGAAAGGCCCTCATAGATAGAGGGCCTGGATGCTGGGAGCGATACTTTCTGAATTCTTCCCATGACTTCGAGTCTGAAAAAAAAATTATATATAAATACAACTATGTACCAAGGTAATACTTACAAAAAATCTACTGTAAAAAAACAATAAAAGCAAATAATGTAATAAATTAAGTACAAGTGAGCACAACAACTTGTTTATTTTACTCACTAATACTTGACTTATTACATTAACTAATTAAACTGGAAAGCACATTTGTAGCTATATTAAAAAACAAAAGGTACAATAAAAGCAATCAATCAATGTAATAAGTCAAGTAAAGGTGAATATAACAACTTACTTGTAACAGAAGAAGCAGCAGCTAGAGATAAATAAAAGAAAATTAAAAATGCAATAAAACCAATTAATCCATAAATTAAGTCAAGTATAAGTGAATAGAACAACTTACTTGTAACAGAAGAAGCAGCAGCTAGAGATAAATAAAAGAAAATTAAAAATGCAATAAAAACAATCAATCAATGTAATAAGTTAAGTAAAAGTGACTTACTTATAACAGAAGAAGCAGCTAGAGATAAATAAAAGAAAGTTAAAAATGCAATAAAACCAATTAATCCAATTTAAGTCAAGTATAAGTGAATAGAACAACTTACTTGTAACAGAAGAAGCAGCAGCTAGAGATAAATAAAAGAAAATTAAAAATGCAATAAAAACAATCAATCAATGTAATAAGTTAAGTAAAAGTGACTTACTTATAACAGAAGAAGCAGCTAGAGATAAATAAAAGAAAGTTAAAAATGCAATAAAACCAATTAATCCAATTTAAGTCAAGTATAAGTGAATAGAACAACTTACTTGTAACAGAAGAAGCAGCAGCTAGAGATAAATAAAAGAAAGTTAAAAATGCAATAAAACCAATTAATCCAATTTAAGTCAAGTATAAGTGAAAGAAACTGCACCTCTAACATGCAAAAGTAACATTCTAAGATAAAATATTTCACCTATTGGACTCACTTTATACATCCTAACAATCACCTTATTGCTACCTCTTTGCCTAACTTTCCATTTACAATGTTTGCTATCAAAAACAAAGTGGTAAGGAATTTCAACATATGGATAGTGTCGGGCTTGTTCATTTTCAACATTTAATTTAAACCATGCAGTTAGGTGAGTGTCACGCTGTGCTGCACGGTCTAAAGCTGCCTGTTCTTCGCCTTCTACAAAATACATCATCTGATTATCTGGCAGATGAACCTGAAGTCGAATGATGTTATGTGACATATCACTTAAAGAATACTCAAATATTCGCCACAATGCTTCTGGAGCTGAGACATAGCGACAATTTAAAAACGTGTTTATTTCATCATGGTTAACTTGCTCATTTATCACCACATTGGCACAGTCATGCCCTTTGTAAATGTACTTATATAAATACTTAACTGACTTTATGGTCATGCAGGCTTCAACATTTATGTGTGCTTGATATTTTTTAGAAAGCCATGGGTTATAAGGTACAACCCAACGGTTGTCAACTTGATTACCTTTTATATTTACAATTCTTCCATTATCGACGCGCCTATAGCGTGGATAACCATTAAAAATTGCAACAGTGTGGGGATTAAATTCCTTAGGAAATTTTTTTGTGCATTTACCATCTTTCATGCAGGGAGAATTGGGATTTAAAATTCCACATGGTCCATGTATCATGCATGATTTTGTAATTTCAAAAAGTTCAGGATCAACAGCTGGGTCTGGGATTTCTGCTGATATCAAACTATCAATATCTTCTGCTGTTTCTAGCTTATCAGCATTTACAAAGTGCAATAAAATATGTACATGTGGCAAACCACGCTTTTGAAACTCAATAACCTGCACATGACTTACAACTTTGCCTAAGACTCCATGCTTAAAAATATCCTCTAAGAAAAATTTAAGTTTCATTTTAAATACCCGACAAACTAAATCAGGTCTGTCATTAGCAGTTTGGCCTGGGTTTAAATTTTCTACTATTTCTCTCCATTTTGGATTGCAGGTAAAAGTAATGAATAGATCTGGTTTACCATATTTCTTTATGACTGCCATCGCATCTTCAAAGTTTTCTTTTAATGCTCTTGGACTACCAACATATGAAGAAGGCAATATAACAACACGGCCTGGTCTTACATTAAGATCATTAGCACGATTAATTACATGTTCATGCAATGCATCATATTGCTCACTTCTAAGTTTGTTTTGGTTATTTCTAATAAAAGCAAGGCGCTGTCCCTCAACTTTGACATGCATCAACAACATATTGCTGAAAAAGTTTCTTACCATAGAATATAGGACTAAAAGTTTGTCTAACAGCAAGCCTATAATTATAATACTGAGACAAAGTAACATGGTTTCTAACACGGGTTGCACGGTCAGGGTTGTGCTCTAGTTGATTGTGCCATCCAGCATCACCTCTCGGGAAGAATATTGGATATACCAAAGGATCCAAATTTGCAGACATAGACGAAATTGTTCTTAAAGGCTGACCTCGAGGGTATATAACAATTTCCCTGGATGCAGGTGGAGCACCATCATCTCCCACAAACACAATAGCAACTTCCTCATGGGAAGGAAGATTGTATCGACGTCTATCATGACCTTCAAGCAAAGACATTCTTACAACAGAGGTTGGTCTACCTTCTAAAGCTGCTTGGCGGATTTCTTCATCCTCTACTTCTGCCATGTTTTTAAATGCAAGAGCAAATGGGTTTTCTTGATTAATTAATGTTTGCAAGAGTTGCATTAACTCATGTATACAACCATCATTACCAGGATGTTCCATTCTGAATGACACTGCTGCATTAGGATCATAGATATACAGCTGACAATATTTGGGCAGACAACCTTCTGCAGGCCTTAAATTTCCAACACGATGCAAAATTTGCCCACAGACCCTAAAACAGAAAGGGTCATTATTTGAGGGAGGAGCTATTTCGGCAGTGAAGGAAGCAAAAGATAAAGAGGAATTATAACTCCTTATGTGTTTAAAAAAATTTTGATTTACAGCATGATCAACATGGTTTCCTGTCATTAAACCAGTCAACAATGGCGGATAAAGAGAAAGAGGAGCTAATGCAACTTTTCCTGAATGGCAGCACAAAAAATGAGTTTCATTTAAAAACTTCTTTGCACTGCAATACTGACAATTATGGTTTAATTCTCCGAGGTAGTTACTCTCTATAGCAATATTATTTCTTGCTATGCGATGCATATTATACCTATTAAGTTCTCGCCTAGCCTGATTTCTTTCATTTTGATTACAATTTATTTCAGCTCGCCGGGGCTCATCTCTTTCAATTCGACGACGATTTATCTCAGCTCGCCGGGGCTCATCTCTTTCCATTCGACGACGATTTATCTCAGCTCGCCTGGGCTCATCTCTTTCATTTCGACGGCGGTTTATCTCAGCTCGCCTAGCCTGCCTTCTTTCATTTTGACGAAGTCTAATAATTTCATTTCTTAAATTATTAGACATAATTAGGCATCAAAGGAGTGTGTAAAAATGATGCCTAATATAATAAAAGTTGAAGTTTCTTTTTTAAACTTATCTAAAATAAAGTGTAAGCAAATAATACAGAGCATAATACTATAATCTATTATATTCTACCATATATAGCATTGTGTTAAGATAACATAGTTTTATTAAAAACTTAAACTAAAGTTATAAATTAATGTAATATTTTCAACTAAGTATTGTTTATATATTTATGGTAGTTGTTATCAATTATTGACAAAATATTATAAGTATTTAATCAAAAAAAACAAAAAAAACAAATGTAATTTAAAAAACAAATTTTTTACATATAAGAACTCATAAATAAAGCAAATTAAAAAAATTTAAGGCCTGTCAACTCAGCAGGTACTGCTAGCATGGAAGGATAAAATGTAATCATCCATCAACAAAACCCTTTCATTACTTTGAAAGGCATTTAACGCAAGATTTGCAATAAATAAATACAAAACTACTAAAAGAACCTCTATAAACAATCATATATTTGCTTCAAGTTAAGAAACTTGGAAATATTGAAACTTCTTTTACTATTTTATTTTTTTTTTAGATATTTAATATTCTAAAGAAAAAGGGACAATAATTTAAGGCAAAAAAATTAAAATGTCTATACATATAATATATGTATAGACATTTTAATTCTATATATTTTATTGTGTGTGTGTGTGTCTATATATATATATATATATATATATATATATATATATATATATATATATATATATATATATATATATATATATATATATATATATATATATATTGATGTACATACAAAACATTAAAATAATAATATAAAGAAAACATTCTCTATACAAAAAATCCTAAAAATTTAACAAAAGTTATTAAAACTTATGCTTCAACACGCTGTATACTTACTTTTATATATATATAAAAAAAATTTGAGTTAAACATATTTAATGAAGAAAATCGAAACTCTTAAAAATTTTAATGAGGAGGAGCTGTTAGTAAAGCCTGCTTTTTAACAAAATTTATTTATTGTCAAAAGCATACATTGTTAAGAACAGAGAATAACAACATTAAAACACATTTTTTAAACAATATTTTTTCAACACATTTTAGAAATACACTAATTACAAACAGAATTAATTTATGTGTTTTATTATGACAATACACCACTCTGCTGGCGAGGACAATATTTTTGCTCTCAACAAAGCCAGGTCACATTATAGCAAAGTACACCACTTGGCTAGCGAGGTCAACAATCTTGCTGTAAACTAAGCCCAGTCACAACAATTTGAAACCATGCAAACAACATAATTATCACTTACAAACTATAAACATATTACATATAACACACCACAAACATTGAAACATTTCATATATTTACACACTTACAAAATATAAACCCATATAACCTTAACACATATATACACAATAAAACACAATATAAATAACACACATATATAGATAAATATATAAATTAAGAAAAATATATAAATTTGAAACTTTACAAATACAACCTTATTTTTGTTTTTTGAAATACCTCGTAATAAATGTTTAACAACTTTCAAAAACAAACTATCAAACAATCTGGTTTTTTATACGGATTTTTATAACTTCTTTTAAATAAGGTATTAAACGATCTTGTTCTTTAACATGTAACATTGAGTTGACCGTGTGAGATGCAAGTGTTTTAAACACTAACTTTATCAAGAGTTTGACCTCTTGACCTTTGAAATGAGCAACGTCTTCTTGAGTCGTCTTTTAATTTAAAAAGATTAATTTTATAAATTAATAAATTTAAATACAATTGACAAAAGACTAAAATGCATGATTTAAATAAACCACCTGACTTTAAAAGTTACTTTACTAATTCAATAATAACATAATGTTCATCCTTTACTACAGAAGTTATCAAATAAAAATTGTTGATCTTATCACTAGTTAAGCTGATGAAACAAAGTTTTTGATCTCATTACTGATTAAGCAGATACTGACGGATTATTAAGATTTAGAAGAGCCCCATTAGGCGAGTTCAGAAGTAAAGCATTTTATGATAAAACTCAAAGGCCAAGTATGGTAAAAAAATCCGTGTAAAGGTGCACGAATGGTGAGCAGCAGCGTTAAGTTAAGTATTAATTATAAGCGATTAGAAAAACAATTTGATATCAACAGCACAACAAATAAAAATAGGTTTTTTATAAAAAAAAGATTATTGAAAAACGTATAAAATTAATTTCTTACCAGGTTGTTGTTGCACTACAAATTAAAAAATGTGTAGTATTAAAAAATAAACACGCATAATTTTTTTTTTTTAATAGAAATCTTTTTTAAAATTTTTTTAAAAAGAGACTTTAAATACATTGGAATTTTTTTTTTACCTGATTGTAGTTGTTGTTGCGGTTCTAGAAAAAATATAAATACAGATTTAAAAAAATACATTAGTAAAGAAAAGAAAACGACAAAATGTTAGGAAATTTTAAAAAAAAAGATATAAATAAATTGAAACAAAAGGTTTCCTTCTTACCAGAATGTGGTTGTTGTTGAGCATCTGCTTAAAAAAAAAAACAGATTAAATAATTAAGTAAAAGAGAAAAAATATTATCAATGGCACAACAAATACAAAATAGGTTTTTTGTAGGTTTAAGGGGCTATAAAAAAGTTTAGAAAAAATTCTTACTTTGTTGTGGTTGCACCACTAAATAAAAATATGTTCAGTATTAAAAATAAAAAAAAATACAGACAACTTAAAAAAATGTGGTTTAACTAAAAGCAAAGAGTAAAGTATATGGAAAGCAAATAAACGAAAAAACTTAACAAATAAATAAAAACAAAATTGGCGACTTAATGAACAAATAAAGACGACTAAAATTGAATTACTGAACAAATAAAATAATAGCGACTTACTAAACATCAAATCATCATCTAAAGCTTCTAAAAATTTAAAAAGAGGTCAATAAGCAATTTAAAAAAAAATTAACTAAAGGAAAAAAAAAAAATGCTACCTGACATGATTTATTTTCAAATTTGTTAATCTAAAAAAATATCAAACAATGTAATAATCTAAAAATAATAATATGATAATGTTACTATCAATGTAATAAATCTAAATCCAAAAGTCAAGGATTAAAGAGATGTAAGAAAAAATTTGTAAAAAATTCTTTTTTTAAGCCTTAAATTTTATCTTTTTTTAAGTATTTAACTAAGCATTTAACTAAGCCTCATGGTGATTAAAACCGCGTGGAAGAAAAACTCGATTGGCATTTTGTTCAAAAAACCTAGGTTGGCACTTTGTACCACAGCGATATTTATCATATACAAAAAAGCTGAATTTCTGTTTTTGTATATTTGATCAACAAAGTTTTTTCTCAAAAAGACTTGGAATATGTCAAGAAAGTTGGAAACTAAGTGTTAAAAGACTTCACGAAAAAACAAAATTTTGAAATTTGTGAACGATTTTTTTTCTCTCATTAGCGAAGTTGGTTCTGTGTCAAAATGCGAGGATCAAACTTTTGATTAATATCTTTACATATGTTGTCTATATACAATATCTATAAAACTTTATAAGTATTTGAATTTGTATTTAAAAAAGTCTAAAAAAAAATTAAAACAATAGTCGCCAACGGTAGGACTCGAACCACGGCAGCTATGTTTCGAAGCCCAGCGTGCTAACCACTCTAATACGCCGTCACGTAGTGTCTTGAAGATTTCAAATTATATAAAAATTGTTTTTTAACGGATAAAACACAAAAGATTAGAAATTAAGCAAAGGTTGACGAAATGCAGTTCTTAAGTGAAAATCAAACTGTTGAACTTGATATATGTTTAAGCATGTTTTAACATTACATAACATGAAGTTTATGTACGTACAATATGAGTTTCACGTTTGCTCGCGTTTTCTTATAAAGCAAAGGTAAGACTCTTTCTCGTCACTACCTCGGATGCAATGGTTGCCAAGAGTATCGTGTCAAACAGGCTCGAAAGCGCACTACTATTACTACTACTATTAAGTCCAGTATTATTATAAAGAGATGCAATTAGGAGTAAATAAAAATAATAGTTATAATAACAGCGATTAAAAGTAATAGTAAAGATTATAAAAAGTATACACTATACTATTTTAATAATAATAATAAAAATAACAACAACAATAATAATAACAACAACAGTAATATAACAAAAACAGTAATATAAAAAAAAAATTATTGCAATATTAATAACAGTAAGAATCATAACATTTATAATGATAAAAATATAGTAATAATAATATTAACAATTATAGTGATGAAGAGAAAATACTTCAGTTTAAGAAATATTAAAATAATAAATAACTGGTTATTTATACTTTATAACATAACATGGCAGATTTTTTAAGCAATCCTTGAAATCAAACTTTGTTACTTAAATGAGCAATAACTTTTTGTAGAATTGTTATTTTGTTATGAAGTTTTCACTATTGTAATGCTGTTTTTAGCCTCTTTTTAATGATATATAATAATCAATAATAAAAATAGTTTAAAATTTTTATACATGTGTCTACATAAAAAGTAAATACTGTTGTCGTTTCTACAATTATACATTATATAACTCTGCTCAAAGTTCAAATATAATCTGTAAATGGCTTAAGCCATAATTTATTAAGTAATGAGATTGTTTATAGTCTTATATAAATAGTTTATTACTGGTTATATTATAATTTAAATCATTTTAATTTGATCAGGTAAAAAATGATTTAAATTTGATTTAATTTCTGTGTTTTTATAAATTTTAATACTATTCTATTTATATAGTTTCTAATTATATAAAAGCTATAAATTCTTTATAAATAACTAAAACAATCTGATTGCTCATTTAATCATGGTTAAAGTCATCAGGGTGGTTATAACATTATCAGCTATTATTATAGAAATAATAAATAACTATTGATGTGTCAAGTTTAATGATTAAAGATCAATCATTAAATTTCAAAATAGTCAATTAACCATAGATTTATATACATACATATATATATATATATATATATATATATATATATATATATATATATATATATATATATATATACAAATAGTATTGCGTACTAAGGTAAGCAATCTGACGTCATACTGAAATAGCCTGCTGCTGGGGGCTTCAGTACATACATCAACTGACAAATAGCCTGACTCGCAGTGGAGTGCTGCTACATCAACTGAGGGTTTGGGATGGGGCAGCAATCGTTTCATTCATCATTCTTCGTTTTTTTCCTTTTTCTAAAAAAGCCGTATGGGTTAAGGTAAACAAAAAAAGTGAACAAATGCTTATAAAAATACGCTTTAGTAAGTGTGTATATATATATATATATATATATATATATATATATATAAATATATATATATATATATATATATATATATTTATATATATATATATATATATATATATATATATATGCATATATTTATATATATATGCATATATATATATATGCATATATATATATATATGCATATATTTATATATATATGCATATATATATATATATATGCATATATATATATGTATATATATATATATATATATATATATATATATATATATATATATATATATATATATATATATATATAGGCTTCGGCAGGAATGACGGGCTATGGCCCGTGTCCGTCTCCGCACCCGTCTAAGTCAGTTTAGACGGGCGAAATAAAGCCCGTCTGAAACATAAGTTTTGTGTAAAAAAAAAGATGAATATTTTGATGTTTTTTTATTAAGATACTCTTTTAAAACTTCAAACTCCAACTTATAATTGTTTATATTTAAATATAAAAATTAAACAATTTAATCATTATTGTATAACATGATGTAGAAAATAATATAACTAAATCTTACAGTTTTTTAAACGACGATAACTGTTTGATATAATACCAAACAGTTACCATATTATGTTCAAAATTTAATAACTATTATATTAAATAGGGAAATATACACATGTGATGCACAAGAAGTATCATGTTGTTTTGGTTTTTCAATGTTTATAATAATAACGATAATAAACTAATTATCCATGTATTTCGCTTTTTTCCGATAAACTAGTTTGTCTTACTTTAAAGACATTTAAAGTGATATTTCCGCGTTAACTTCACGTTTTTTCTTAAAGAGACGGCAGTTTATTTAATATGCAATTATATAACTCGTTATTGAAAATGAAATATCTCATTAAAAATCAACAAACGTCTAATCAATTTTTGTAGATAATATAAATAGTGTTGCTTTATAGTTATGAAGTTATTCAAGTTATCCAGTCATTCAAGTTTTTCAAGTTATTCAAGTTTTTCAGTAAAGATAGTAATGGCATCATCTGGTAGAAGAGTTAGATTAGCAACATTTTTGTGTTGGGGTAAAGATGGAGTCTGTGGAAAAGAAACTGAGGTGGAGAATGGAACAATTTTTGTTGTGAAGATATGGTGTATGGTTTGTATAAAATATAAAAAAGAATTGCTTCGCGAGTTAAAAGGTCTGGCAAAATCAAAAGCATTAGCATTTATAGAGGGCACTACGAACGTTAAAGCTAGCAACATACATACGCTTATATACATGCTTATATTGTATATAAAGTAACGGAAGCCCCGGTATCTTAAGAAATTATTAGTACTTCTAAATAAAAACTTATTTTATTAAAAGAAATTAGATTTCAAATTTTTTATTCACGTATCAGAATAACTATTTCTGAACAGGATAGGCATAGGTAAAGCAAAGTTATAAAAATATAAATAACAGTTTAAGTTTTTAATTTGCATGCCCAATAGAATGCAAGAGTATATAAATAATTGAATTTGAAAAATAACATAGTTACGTATCATATTACCAAGCTAATACCAAACAATTCTAAAACTATCGAGCTCATTGATTCAAGGTTTAAAAAAAAAAAAGATTTCAAACTATTTGCTGAATAATTAAAAAAATTAGATTTTGAAAATATTATGTAATATTTTTATTCACAAAGAATAAGAGAAACGAATGAACTAAAAAAGCACGATAAAAACCTGTATAATTTAATTGAATACTTGAATAAAACAATAATATATAAATATATTCAAAAAGACTTCGGTAAAAAAACACGTTAGGATGCTTGAATAAGGAAACGTGATGAAACGCCATGGTTGTTTTGAGGATTTTTCCCGTCGTTTTCACGTTCATTCGTTTGACTATATTTGCCAGATATTATCTGGAATAAAGATTAAAAAAAAAAAAACATAAATAACTGAATAAAGTTCCTTCGAGTAAGAAATCTAAACAAAAGCAACCATAAAACAACTAACCCACGTGAAACGAAATTAGATCTGTGCAAGTGAAAACTTTGAAAAACAATTATTGAAATCTTAGTTTTAAGTATTATCCAACTCATTTACTGCAGTGTTTTAATTACTTAAGTAATTAAGCATTTTAAACAGTTAATTGCTTTTTAACATATTATTTTAGTGCAATTCACAAAATGTTTAATATTCAATGACATTTTCATTCAAAAAGAAGAAAAGAATTTAACAAATTTAAAAAAAAAAAAGTTCAAACTTTAGAATTTTTTTTAAAGTTTAAAAAAGCCCGTGCAAGACCATCTAGACGGGCGGCCCTCATAGCCCGCCAAGTCTATTTAAGATGGGCTTTTCATAGCCCGTACAGTTTTTATTCCTGCCGAAGCCTGTATATATATATATATAAATATATATTATATATATATATATATATATATATTATATATATATATATATATATATATATATATATATGCATATATATATATATATATATATATATATATATATATATATATATATATATATATATATATATATATATATATATATATATATATATATATATATATATATATATATATATATATATATATATATATATATGCATATATATATATATATATATATATATATATATATATATATATATATATATATATATGCATATATATATATATATATATATATGCATATATATATATATATATATATATATATATATATATATATATATATATATATATATATATATATATATATATATATATATATATATATATATATATATATATATATATATATATATATATATATATATATATATATGCATATATATATTTCAGTCAGTTTAATTTGAAATTTCAGTTCAATTGTAACTGACATGTCTATTATTTAAATATTCATATAGCTCAGTGCAATTTGGTTATTGACTTCTTCAAGCAAGGTAAAACATTTAGGTCGATAAATAAAGTGACTGAAATAGTATTAGGAACTACCAGAGATCTGATTAAAAATTATAATATTTTACATTAGGTACGCGAGTAAAAATTTCAAAATGTTTGAATACTATATTGTTATATATCATTAGAAAGAGGATTATTACAGTATTTTAAAGGTGAAAAAATTATCAAAATCAAACAATTGGTTCAAAAGTTATGAGGGTTTAAGTACCGATTTTTCTATATATGGATTTGTTGAAGAAACTGTGGTCAAAATAATGTTTTTCTTCACTTAAATTGTCATAACTTTGTCAATTCTTATCAAAAAACAAATATCTTGGCATCAAAAGATAGGTGTAAGAGTGGGCTACAACTTTATGTTAAACTCTAACCGCCGGGCGTATCGGATGGACAGAGGGGGTACCAAACCACCACCTTGCCCGTGTGAAACTGAACACTTTTTTTAGAAGAAAAGTTTTTTTTTAAGACATAAGCAATATAAATATACAAAAAAATTGTTTTAAATTTATACTAAACTAAAATATATGAGAGGTGTATGTTAGCAATAATAGTGTGTGTGGTGGTGATGGTTTGATACACCCTTGTATCAAAAACGACTTGATTTTATAAATATTTATCTTTACTAAAATGAGTAAAACTAGTATACAATATAAAATTATGTTATACAAGATCTTACGTATACAAGTGGTGTTTCTATTATGAGAGGGGCGTATGACCCCCCCCCCCCAACCTAAAAAAAAAAAGAAAAAATATGCAATTACTGTTTTCAAAATTTGAATAATAAATTAAAAAAAATAATTATGAAACTAGAAACAATTTAAAAAATAAATTCATACCAGACAACCACCAAATATGAGAGATGAATGTAAAACTCATAATAGATATGTTGATGATGTTTTAGTACTATAATATCAAAAACATTTTTAATTCTTGAAATATCTGAATGAATATTTAAAGTACAACAACAAAGAAGTAAAAAACATATTTCACTAGATTAAAATATACATTAGTGGTGCATCCATGGTCATAAGAGAGTGAAGTATAAGGAAGGGTCTATCCAAATATATCATAAGGGAAGGGGCATTAGAATGCCTCTAACCAAACCAGTTGGATATATATTACTTGAAAAATTATACAACTACTATTGTGGGGCTATAATTATAAGTCAATTGGCTGTAAAAAACATGTCATCTTTATAACCAAGTATAGCAACTACCTATATTAAAGTCTTTTATGTGATTATTACATTAAAAGAAGTAAGGACCATACAGTATGGTTAACGAGCTAGCCATTCTGTTTGGTTAACAAACAAATTTCTGTTTCAAAATAAATAATAAATAAAATGTTAACATTAAAAAAAAATTTTTTTAATTATTTTAAAAATAATTTAATATATTTTTGTCTTGGTTTTTTAGTGAATGATTAATATAATTAATTCCAGTAATAAAACTATATTTTAATTATTTTTAACAATAGCCAGCACACGAAGGTAAGCCAGAGTTGTCTATCAAAAAATTTAACAAATTACAACACTTGCTATATAATTTAGGCAAGTCACAACACTAGCTGTATTATTTATGCAAGTCGCAACACTTGCTATATATTTTAGGCAAGTCACAACACAAGCTGTATTATTTATGCAAATCACAACACTTGCTATATAATTTAGGCAAGTCACAACACTAGCTGTATTATTTATGCAAGTCGCAACACTTGCTATATAATTTAGGCAAGTCACAACACTTGTGTTTTTAAATTCATTAAATTGTAACTCACCAGAAACAACATCAGCAGCATGCTGGGTCTTTTTCATGCAATAGTCAGCAGCTTCAATATCAGTTTCATCTTCTTCCAGTAAGAAATGGTGTAAATGAAGTCATTTTTTTATTTTATTAACTTTGCCACTTGATTTTTTGTCTTTGGCAAATCTCATCTCTTACTTTGCATCGATTCAGTCAATATGTAAATTTGTTTTTACGTGCTACATTAATTGACCATTTAACAATCTTTTCTCTAAACTTAAATCTGGAGTGTCTAGATAGTCAACAGTCCTATTCTTTTTTGATCTTAGTTTGCAAGAGATATAGCAAATTGTTGCATTAGGAAACCATACTTTTGCATCACTAAACATACCCATTAATTCCTCACTATCTATATTGTGAAGCTATGCGCTAGCTGTTTCCTCTTTAAATGTCTCCGTCACAGTAAGAGAAGCTAGTAGTAAATGACTAAATACTAAATTATTAAATCATATAATAGGGGTTTAACTGACTGATCCTCTCTAAAGCAACTTCATCTAAACAGAAATTAAATGAACTTTATTTTTACAAATATATATATATATATATATATATATATATATATATATATATATATATATATATATATATATATATATATATATATATATATATATATATATACTTTATAATAACTACTAAGCTATTAAATTGCCGGCTACAACTTCACTATAACTTTGAGCATCTAAAACAGCAAAAGAAATATTTAAGTTATAAATAAAGGTTAGATAGTGGCCAAATAATAAATTGAAACAGTTTAATAAATTTATATTAAAATATCTTATTCATAAAGATATTCCTTAATAAATAAACTTTATTTATTAAGGAATATCTTTTTAAATAAGTTATTTAAAAGACAAGATTCTTTATTATAAAAACAACGTTCAAACTTCAAATTAGATATGTAACACCTTTAGTGTTTATTAATAAAGTAATAATCTTTAGTTAGCGTGTATCATTAAACTATACCATTGAAATTGTTAAAATTTACCAAACTTACAAATCGCCTGTCTGAATTCACCTAAAAGCCAATTTTAAATTACGAACTTTATTATAAAATTAAACTATAACACTAACATTGCAAAAAATAAGTTTAAATGACTAAATAACTAAAATAGTTTAAACTTTACTTGTTCTAAATTGTCTATAGAAAAAAACAACAATGACTCAATAAAAAGAAAGCAACAATTAGGACTACATAAATAAACAACTGTAAAAAAATTTTGTGGATTATTGTAATAAAGATCTTTAAATGAATACTGAAAGCAGATAACTAAACACTAAAATAATAAAGCATAACAAAGAAACTGACTTATCCTCTCAAAAGCATCTTCTAAAAAACAATTGAAAAACTTTTTTTAACAAAATAATACAAACATTTGTCTAGACTATATCTACTGATCTTAAGTTAAAAGAAACTAATGGGTATGGAATGTGTAAAATAACTAACTAATATTGTTGGCTGCCACCATTGGACCTTTGAGTTGCTAAAACAATATAACAAATGTTTTTCATTATTATGTTACATGTATTATACATAAAAGTTGAATAATTTCACTAACATATATAAGTTATATATGAACGTATTTTATTTAATAAATAAAGTACGATTCAACTGTAATAAATAATATAAATAATTTATATTATTTATTACAGTTGAAAGATTAACAGTCAATTATTAAAAAAAAAAAGATTACAACACTCTTACATTGTAATACAATGTAAGATAAAATATGTTATAATATTAATCTCTTTAAACTTTAAAGTAACATTAAAATTTATTTAATTTAAATGAATTTTAATGTTTCCTTACTAAGTAAGGTAAGTAAACTAATGTTTTCTTACTAAGTAATTTAATACTTTAAAGTTTAAAGTATTAAATTTTAATTTTTTTTTTTTTTTTAATTTTAATAAATAGGAAACAATATTGAAAACCTTTATCATTATTTTGACCTTCCATTTTATTTAATCTAAAAAAAAACTGAAAATGTTATTCAATCTAAATCAATTATAAAAAATGTTTGATTAGCCCCTCTGTCTCCCGCGCCCATTTCAGCAAAATGAGAATTAGGTACCAAAAGTGCGACAAAAAATAGACACCCTGCTACAACTTTTTTTTCAATGAAATTTTCCAGGTGCATAGATAAATGAAAAACTTAAATGAAAGAATAGTATAGAAAAATGAATGAGCATATCTTCGACAACAAAGTTTTAGACATCAAAAAACTCTATAAAAAAGCTATCTAGTAAAATAATAAACCAAACAGTAACAAAGTTTAACTATTCTAGTTTCTAAAAATAATCTATATTGATATCAAATTCTAAAAAGTTTTCCAACCAAACACGTCTTCCCTACGCTAGCTAAAAAAAATTCTAAAAAGCGTGGCACAGTTTTTTAGCACAAAAATCGGTTCCGTAAAACGCGGATTTCCACGTACCTATTTATATATATATATATATATATATATATATATATATATATATATATATATATATATATATATATATATATATATATATATATATATATATATATTACTAATTTACTTATGTCTGTTATTTTAAAATTCATAAATGATTTTTTTTTTTATAGGAAATTAAAGAAAAAATATATAGTTAAAATGTTATCCATAACTGGTAAAAAGTTGACATTGCTAGCCTTTAATTCCAGATGTCTTTCAAGAGTATCAAGATATCTTGGTACAAGTGGATCCCAAAACAATAAATTAACAGATGATAAACCGGTATAAATGCTTACATTACGGTGCACAATTTAATGGTTTTCCATAAATTTTGAAAATTTATTTTGAACTTTTGCATTCTGTTAAATGACTCTAGTGTTATTTTTATTTTTATTTTTTTTGTTTTTTTTGTTTTTTTGTTTTACTTTTCTTTTAAAAAGAGAAAAAAGACATGCAAGCAGCCATGAACTTTTCTTTTTTGAATTTTTTTTTAACTACTTTATGCAAACACATTATATTGCTTTCTAAATCTTACAATTTACCATACACCTAATGATTTAAATAAGCTTTTAACTTAACTTTTAAGTTTTTTTGCTTAACTTAACATTTTAAGGTCATATCTTTGTCCTTTCCAACCTTTTAATATATATATATATATATTTTAATTTTTATTACTGTATACAAACTAAGAATCTTTAGCTAAATTAAATTATAAGAATTTTTGAATTTGCAAAGATAAGAGTATATTTTTTTAAAGTTACAAATTGACTTACCCTTGCTATTAGTGATAACATTTGCTTATAAAATTATTTTAAAACATTGCAGTTACAAATTCCTGTTTTCTTTAAAAAGAAAATTGGAATTTACAACAGTTTTATTTAAACACATTCTAGTTTGTGACAAATCAATTAACCTTGCTATTACAAATAAAGAAGAAAGATCATAATTTGTAACAAATCAATAAACCTTGCTATTATATTTATATACAGAAAAATAAGTATCCGAACAAAACATTTTATTGTGAAAAAAACTTTGTCAGGTTATTTCAGAAAAACATGTTTTTGATAAAATAATTTTAATTATTCTACAAGTAAATTTTATCACAATTTTATATTTTATCACAATTTTATATGCGGTCGTGGTGTAGTGGTAAAACACTCGCTTCATAAGCGAGAGGTTCCGAGTTCGGTCCCCACCACATCCCTGGTAGTACCGCGCTCAACTTGTTTCTCCGTGCAGCGGCCTTGTTCGTCAAGGTTCGTGTTTCGGAGTTATAGAGTTGAGAGAGGGTTATAACCACTATTAAGTAGCCTCCTCATTTGTAGTCGCCTTCTCGGCCTTGAGGAGGTGAATAACGAAAAATATATAGTAAAAAATTAATCAACGGTAATTAACTAATGTTGCTAAAATTTAATGAATCCCAAAGAAGTGTTAAAATTTCAACAAAAAATAATTATCCAAACATGTTGTTTTGTAAACGAAGTTTTGAAATTGCATATTAAAAAAAGTTTTAAAATCAATAGCTTTAGAAATATTGTTATTTTACAACAAGTAATTTTTAAAATTGAATTATATTTTTTTAAATTTATTTGATTTACCATTGATATCATCAAGTATGGGAGTTAAAATCAAGGAATGATCTCAAGCTCAGTGCAATTTGGTTATTGACTTCTTCAAGCAAGGTAAAACATTTAGGTCGATATAAAGTGACTGAAATAGTATTAGGAACTACCAGGGATCTGATTAAAAATTATAATATGTTTGGATATGTGCAAAATCAGCCAAGATCCAGAGCTAAGCATAAAACAACATAAGAATAGATCAACAAATTATCAAGATGGTGCAAAAAAACCGCTTTTTATCAGCACCGAAAGTGTTACAAGTGAGCTCATGTACTATTCGAAATCAATTGAAAGAAAGTGGATTTAAAGCAAGTGTTCCACACAAGAAACCATTCTTTTCAAAAATCCATCAAAAGTGAAGATTTGCATTTGCTAAAAAATATGTAAAAGGTGAAGTTGTATTCGCGGTGCAGTAAAATTTAGTGGAGGCAATGTTATGGTATAGGGATTTATGGCTTGGAACAGACAGGAAAACTGGAGTTTATTGATGGAATCATGGACTCAGAGTTTTATGTTAACATTCTCAATAAAAATTTTCTGGCTTTCACTAAAAACAGTGATTAGGAAAATATTTTATCTTCCAACAAGACAATGACCTTAAACATACGTCAAAGAAAGCAAAAGAGTTTTTCATCCAAAAACAAATTGAGTTATTTGAATGGCCAGCGCAAAGTCTAGATCTCAATCCATTTGTAACAATAATATTTTCTCTTATGAATTATATATGTTTATTTTATGTACCCTAAGAAGTCCTTATGGTCTTATAACAGAGCACCTTGGAAAAGCAATTAACAGGAAATTCACTCCTACTTCCTAACCAATGTCGCAAAACTGAAGGGGGGTTTAAAAGTGCTCTACCACTGCGCCACGCCTGCTTAAACCCAAAAGTTAATTTGTCTCTTTTCTGGTGGATAGTAAGAATTAATAAGAATAATACAACTCCAAAGATTTTTATTTGATTTGAATTGTCGTACGCACAGATTTCTCAGATGTTGTATTCAATTTCTCAGATTATTTGAAACCACATGATCATAAAAATATAAAAAGGTTTAAATGTTTATTTGCATTAATTACATGCTAAATTATAAAGTTACAAAGACAAAATATTACAATATCTACATCATCAAAAAATGTTCAAGTAAAAAACTTGTTCATAAAAAAAGCATATCATCAATTAACTCAGATGTAAATCAACTACAATGGTCTGGTGTCATGTGCATTAAGACTAAAAACAGACGCTTGACACTTGGGATATGGATAGTGACAAAGCGACACGACAAGCATCCCATACAACTTCAGGGAACTGCTCAATTGATTTTAATGGGTTAAGTTGGAAGAGTTGTCTTTAAACATTGAACAGATTTCCGGAATTGTTTTCAAGCTAGTCGAAACTCCTTTTCGATTACATCTAGTTGAACCTGCATTTGTTCTTCTGAAGAATTTTCTTGAATTTCCTGTTCACACAACATAAATAAATTTGGTTGACGCTTTGCGATTGGTGAAGCATTCTCCTCATTTTCTGAACTAGAGTCTGATACATAAACTGCAAAAGAGTTGCGCTCTATTACTTTTTTGGTTTTGTTGAGTTCATTATTCTTATTTTCATTAACAGGTTGAATCAGTTTGTAATGTATTTTCTATCAGCTGCAGTTATCTATAGAAGTATTTATACTTTTTATTTATATGTATTTCTTAAAGTTAAATAAATAAATATATATAAATAATTTTTTTTTCAAAAAACAACCTTGTTTTCAGTCTCTGTTAGCATGCAGCCATGCCTAATATCAACATAAACTGCTGCAAGAAACAACAAATTTTTTTGTAGCGCGCTTTCTCTATTATCCATTATTAAGTCGCCGTCCTTCCTGTCAAGTTCACACTTTATTGAATTCCAATCAAAAATGAATTTACCTGCGGTGATATTTTCACATCGAAGACAAATAGTAAGTTTGTGTGCCATATGCAATACATCACTTAATTACTCCCATATACCCCAAAAACATGGTTACACATTAAATTCTTTAGAAGCTTCTTTTTGCATATTTAGATTTTAAATTACTGATCGAATCTATAAGAACAGAAGAGTTCATTAAATATATGTGCAAAGTTATTAACTACTTAAATAAAGAGGATTATTAAAGAAATATTTACATAAACTAACATTTAAAAATCATTAAGTAGTATAAATTTCATTAAAGGGATCCCAAACTCCCAACACATGTTGTGTTCATATTAAAGATAATGTTAAAAAAGAAGGTTTAAACCAAATTTTTTTGATTAAAAATAAATAATGAATGCATACCGTGAAAAACAAATGTTGTTGTTTTTGCCGAAGCTCGTCTTCTCCATTTTTTTGAACTAATCGGAGTCTTCAAATTATGCGTCGCAATCTACAGACTTTGGCAATTCCTTTGAAGCGCGTTTAATTCATAAAAGTTTTAGTATTTGACGTCACGGTAGACTTTTAACAAAAAAAAAGTGTAATTAAACTAAGCTGCGTTTTTCTACTGTAGTATTTTTTTAACATACAGCAAAACAAATTTATTTGTATTATTTTTCCAAACATCGCAAAAAAAAGTTTTGTAAAAAGTAAAAACAATAAATTATTTTTATTTTATAGGAGCAACTTATTTTTTACAGATATCTTAATAATTTTTAGATTTATATATCTTACTTATATTTCTTTAATTATTTAAATTAAAACAAATATTAAAGCTTTACTTACAAATCTCATGATTTTCATACAAGTATTTTACATTATATAGAACGTTTTATATACAGTCTCTTGTTTTTGCGCAAGAGAGCGTAGTATTATATATTCTGATTCTTAATTATTTTTATTTAAACAATGGGAACTATTTTCTAACTTCTCTGGTTATTTTTATGCTATGACAATTTTTTGTTTTTCCGTTGAAAAAAAGTATTTGTTAACAATTACTTTCATAAACTGACAGTATTAATTAAAGATATTTAATGAAGTGTTAACTTTTTTCATTATAAAATTTTTTTGATCACGCTGATTTAATTTAAATTGCTAAATTTGCTGAATTGGATACGGATAAAAAGGAAATACCATTTTATTTTACATTTGATTTTTGATAATGAAATTTTTATAATGTCAGCAACTACATACCAATTAGAACCTGTTAAGATTATGAAAAAAAAGTACAAGAATACACTAAGCAATACAGTTGACAGTAGTATCAGATATGAAAATTCGTAAAAGGATTTGTGAGATCCTGATTTTGCATTAAAAGTACAGTTAATTGCAACACAAGTCGGCACTATAAATTTTGATTATAAGTTTACTGTTCAATATTTTATAACCATCAAATAAAAAACATGAAGTTTGTATATTTTTGCCCGTTTTATACAACTAATATTTAACAAAAATACGGACAAATTATTATTAAATTGGCATTTGTCTCTTAACATGAAAAATTAAAAATTTTTAAAAACACAATTAACAAATACAAATTTTCAAGCAATTTTCTCTTCCAATTCTCATTTATTCAAAGAAAATTTACTATTAAACTTTTATTTCTCTCATCTAAAAAAAGAACAAGTGAAGCAAAAAAAATATATATTCTATATAACTCTTATTCATTCAAAGTTTAATTGCGCGAAAATTTTCTTTCTCTTTTGTTCTACTCTTTTATA